GTTCTGTAAAAAAGCTGTCCTCAGCCGGGAAGATTTTTTCTATACAAAAATGGTCATTAGACCTTAAAAAGTTCTTTTTATAGAAAATATCAATTCTCAGGACAATCTTATAAATAATCGTTGAGTTTTAAAATATTTTTTGAAGGCTCGGATTTTTAAAATTATGCTTGTAATAACCATATAAATTACGGACTATTTTTCAAGGACTATCCGAACTTCAGTAGTGTTGGCGGTTTATTTGGGATGCCATTTGTATTTTGCTTTTGCAAAGGGCCAACAACACAAGGCTGGGCCAGTTCATACAAGATGTGGATTTATAAAGATTTTTTTTATAAACCAACATATTATTCAAGTACCAAGGCGTGGAATGACCACCATATATATTGAAGGACCAAGGCGTTTTTTGAGTAATATTTTTAGGATCCAATACAAGAAATATTTTTTCAGGCATATTTTTTAGGGTTTCAGTTTTTTTTAAATATTTTTTAACAACCATCTAAATTGTATGCTTACATATATAAAGACTGTTCGGACTATCCGAGCTATAATCAAGGAGTTTTGAGAAAATAATTTTATAGCGTGGATGGCAACTATTTCAAGAACTATTTCAAGAACTGGATTAAAAAAATCTAGAACCTACCTAAGAACTTTTTTTTAAGAACTATCTCAAAGCGTATTTTTTCAGAATCCTTTTTTTAAGCACCAGCTTTTTCAGGGGCACACACTAGGCGTGGATTTTTTAAAGAATATCTTTTCAGGGACCCATAGGCGTGAATTTTTTTAAAGAATATCTTTTCAGGGACCCATAGGCGTGAATTTTTTTAAAGAATAACTTTTCAGGGACCTATAGGCGTGAATTTTTTTAAAGAATATCTTTTCAGGGACCCATAGGCGTGAATTTTTTAAACAATATACTAGAATATTTTTTCTAGGACAATCCGAACTTCAAGGATCGATTTTTTAAAGAATACTATTTCTGGGACCCATAGAAGGAACAAAGAATAACTTTTAAGATACCATAGACCGATTTTTTAAATAACATTTTTCCAGAAGGCATGCCTTTTAAACATTTTTTTAGGGACCCACACAAGGTGTAATTTTTTTAAAGAATTTTCTTAGATTTTTATAAGAATATTTTTTTCATGGACCAGCCATGGATTTTTAAAGAAAATTTATTACAGGAACCATCTCAAGAAGTGATATTTATATTTTTGAAATATCTACACACAAGTCTTGAAATAAAAAACAGGTACCTGAATGCGGGAAGGTTTAAAGTAATATATTTTCAGTGACCACTCAAATCGTGACTTTTTAGGGACTAATACAAGGCAGAGGTTTTAGAATATTTTTTTTAGTATCCTAAACATTGACCCACACAAGGTGCGGATTTTTTACGAATATTGTTTTCAGGAACACAATGCTTGTATTTGTAAAGAATATTTTTTCAGTGACAGAATGCGTGGCCTCTTTAAATACTATTATTTAGAGACCTACACAGGGGATTTTTTTAGAATATTTCTTTCCTTGGTCTGAGTATTTTTTTTCGATCCTAAGTCCGTAAGTTTTTTTCTGAGAATAAAATCGATCATCCGTTCTGAGGATTTTTTCTACATAAAAAATATCCTCAGATCTGCAAAGTTTTGTTTTCTAAAGAAATAAGTTCATCCTGAGGTATGATTTTTTTTCGATAAAAAATTGATAAGGGTCGAATTCTCCGAACCTCAGGGTCGAATATGAACAAGCCTGCGGAGATTTTTGTCAACAGAAAAAATTGATGCTTATGTCTGATTATATTTTTTCGATAGAAAATGGATCAGTTTTAAGCATAATTTTTTCCGAACCTCTGGGTCGAATATATAATTTTTAAATAAATTGGTCCTCTGTGCTGTGCATATATATATGTATATATATTGTAAAAACAAATTAGTACAGGTCACGTTTTATAAATCTTGAAGTCCGATGAGCGCTCGATATTTTGTTCAACAAAAAAAAATATTTACAAAATTTTGCAAGTTCTCACAACGATTCTTGTCGCTGTTTTTGTTATTGTTGACAAAGTGCATTGCTCCCGTAAATAAATCAATGCCACATTACCCACCAACCGTCTGACTTAATTCCAATTTATTTGGTTTGTTTCCTTCCAACGGAGAAACCAAAACTGGGCTAGGGTGTTTTTTTAATAATGAATGCAATTGCATTGTTGTTGTTGCTGTTGTGGTGGCAACCATTACAATTTCCCCCCATGGCGACTCCACCAACACGACAAGTGGAGCATACTTTGTCGCAACATTTATTTGCGATAATATTGCATTTCAGTTGTCGTATTCCTTGGACTTTCGTTGGGTGTTTTACATGGTGCACAATGTGTTCTTCTCAGGGTGTGGAGCTGGTGTTTGCAAAAAGGGTGTTGTTTACAAAAATAGAACCGAAAAATGTAAAGGGAAATTCATTTTACAATTCAGCATTTTAGGCAGAACATTACTCAAAAGGAAACAATTTTTCCGCTATAGAAACAAATTGTGACCTCCTGGTGGGAGGGTAGCTTTATTTCTATTTAGATAGAAAATGAAAGAACTTTTAAAGTTTTTCAAACTTTTTTTGCTGGAAATAACCGCAGGCGGAAAAGGTGTTCATACGAACATTGGCTGGCCATGGTTTCCGGATTCTTTATCTATGGATACCTTTGGACTCCTTCAATTCCATTTAGGGTCTATTTTCTATCAGTTCTCCTTTCCTTGTCTCCTTCCACAGATAAGGCTGCACTGCATTGAAGTTCCTGTTAAGTTTTTAATTCAACAACAAAGACTATGCTTTGTTCCGGGGGCACAGTGCTGCGAATCTGCATTAACTTTTCCAGCAGCACTGGCGATCGGAGTGCTGCAGAACATTTATAATTTAGCATTAAATTTGTAACGAAGTGTTAAAGTAATCAATAGTGCGGAACTGTTACGGCTGGTAGGCATAGCAACCGATAAGGCAGACACAAAGCACAAAGGCAACTGACGAGGCAGGCAGGCCGGCAGACAGTCAGCCTGACGGCCTGCAATTAAATTAATATGGCAGAGGATGTATTTGTTTGTTTACAATTAAATTATCTTCTCGAAGAATTCATCTGTTTAAGAAGGCTTGTAAATGTTGTTTTCCTTGCAATGATATTTAAATATTTACATCAAATTGTGCATGAATCATTACATCAGTTGTAATTGTTTGTGTTGATTTTTGGGATAACAAAAAGCAGGAAAATAAATAAGATAAATATTCATTAAAATTTAAGGCAGAAAACTGCCTAAAAGAAAAAAATCTTCAGGGGAATCGCCCTTGAGAATAGATTCATAACAAAATTCAAGCCTTGAGAAGAACCCTCAAAAATTCGAGCCTTGAGAAGAACCCTCAAAAATTCGAGCCTTGAGAAGAACCCTCAAAAATTCGAGCCTTGAGAAGAACCCTAAAAAGATTCAAGCCTTGAGAAGAACTCTAAAAAAAATTAGAGCCTTGAGAGGAACCCTAAAAAAGTCGAGCCTTGAGACGAACCCTAAAAAAATTCAAGCCTTGAGAAGAACTCTAAAAAATTTAAGCCTTGTGAAGAACCTTACAAAATTCGAGCCTTGAGAAGAACCCTAAAAAAATTCTTTAAAGAATTCAAGACTTGTGTATACGCCGTGTGTAGATCCCTAGAAAAATATTATTAGAACCCTAGAAAAATATTATTTAAAAAAACACGCCTTGTGTAGAACCATAGAAAAATATTATTAAAAAAACCACGACTTGTATAGAACCGTAAAAAAATTCTTTAAAAAATCCCTTTGTTTGGTCTCTGAAAAATTTTTCTTTAAAAAATCATTGAAAATTTTTTCTTTAAAAAATCCCTTTGTTTGGTCTCTGAAAATTTTTTCTTTAAAAAATCCCTTTGTTTGGTCTCTGAAAAATTTTTCTTTAAAAAATCCCTTTGTTTGGTCTCTGAAAAATTTTTCTTTAAAAAATCCCTTTGTTTGGTCTCTGAAAAATTTTTCTTTAAAAAATCCACGCCTTGTAGAGGCCCTCAAAAAATATTCTTTAAAAAATCCACGCCTTGTAGAGGCCCTCAAAAAATATTCTTTAAAAAATCCATGCCTTGTAGAGGCCCTCAAAAAATATTCTTTAAAAAATACACGCCTTGTAGAGGCCCTCAAAAAATATTCTTTAAAAAATCCACGCCTTGTAGAGGCCCTCAAAAAATATTCTTTAAAAAATCCACGCCTTGTAGAGGCCCTCAAAAAATATTCTTTAAAAAATCCACGCCTTGTATAGACCCTTGAAAAAATATTCTTTAAAAAATACAGCCTTGTATAGACCCTTGAAAAATATTCTTTAAAAAATCCACGCCTTGTATAGACCCCTGAAAAAATATTCTTTAAAAAATCCACGCCTTGTATAGGCCCTTGAAAAAATATTCTTTAAAAAATCCATGCCTTGTATAGACCCTTGAAAAATATTCTTTAAAAAATCCACGCCTTGTAGAGGCCCTCAAAAATATTCTTTAAAAAATCCACGCCTTGTAGAGGCCCTCAAAAATATTCTTTAAAAAATCCACGCCTTGTAGAGGCCCTCAAAAAATATTCTTTAAAAAATCCACGCCTTGTAGAGGCCCTCAAAAATGTTCTTTAAAAAATCCACGCCTTGCTGTGAGTCTTGAAAAAATATTTAAAAAAAATGTTCTCTTCCGATCCTCCAATACCGACTGTCCGTACTAAATAAAATATGGATCTGCTACCAAGTCTTGCATATTTTTTTGCACAACATTTCTTAAATTACGACCTTCTGAAACACATTTTTTCTAATGCAAATTGAAGTTCATTGAAATGTTCGTAAAATATGATGGCATAGCGTCGCGGTGTTTACTTAGCTGTTTAGAATTTTGATGGAACTTCCAAACGAAACGTAGACAAATTATTTATTTTTTTTATTTCTTAGAACTTTATTTGGTTCAGTTGTTCGCCAGATGCGTTAGAGGTTAGTTTAAAATGATTCCTGCTTCTCTTCCCAATATTCAACCTCTTAGTGAGGATTTGCAAAAGGTAGCCATCGAAGAATTGGGAGAGGTTCCATCAAGAATTCCCGAAGATTTATTGGCCCTGAAGACATGGATATCGCAGCAGCCTCACTTGAAAGCACGTACCGATGACCAATGGCTGATACAATACCTGCGAGGCTGTAAATACAGCCTGGAAAGGGCCAAGGAAAAATTGGATTTTTTCTATACCATAACCTCAAAATATCCTGAATTATTTACCTGTGACGATTTGGATAATCCACGATTTCGCGAAGTGCACAATGAGGGGTAAGTGTTGCGAGCGGAGGAATGTCTTTATTTATTTTTTTTTAATTTTAAAATTTATTTCAGAATATTTCTACCCCTACCCAAGCTACTGCATGACTCCGGACCACGTATGGTATTCTTTCGCATGAAATTTGATATTGAAAAATATAAAATCGAAGATGTTATGCGACCCTGCAATATTATGCATCAAATAATGCTGTTGAATGATCCACCAACCTGCATTAATGGTCTGTTTTATGTAGCGGATTTCGGTGGTTCTGCAGGACATTTTCTACAATTCACCCCTAGTATCATAAAGCGGCAGGTGGCATATTTTGAAAAGGCTTTACCATTGCGTATTAAGGCATGGTGTTTCTTTAATGTTTCCGCAGTGGCGGAACAATTTTTTAAAATTATTTTACCTTTGGTGTCGGAGAAACTAAGGAAGAGGGTGAGAGAGGCGAATGGAGTTTTTTGAGTCAATTTTTAAATTAATTTTTTTTTTGTTCTTAGATCCATATTTATAACAAGGACTCTCTGCACAAATTATGGGAATTGGTTCCCCAAAAATATATGCCGGCGGAATATGGTGGTGAAAATGGCTCATTGGCCCAGGCTGCTGCCGACTACCACAAAGTTTGGGATGAATATCGTGACTATTTTAAGGAAAATTCTCAATATGGTGTCGATGAAAATTTGCGTCCCGGCAATCCCATGGATTTTGATAGTATGTTTGGTCTGTGTGGTTCATTCCGGAAAATTGAGGTGGACTAAAGTGTCGGATAAGAATAAATAATGTTGAAAATATACCTGCAGAGAATACACTTTGTAGCCAAACCAAATATTTACACCTAGTAGGCTTTCATATTGTGTTTTGTGTTTGTATCACATTATTTTCTGTACCTTTTGTAATAAACGTTTGAACTGAACAAAACACACCTGCCGGCTGCATTTATTTCTAACATTGGTTATGGGCCCAGGATAATTTCTTACCGAGGAAAAAGGCCCAGGGAGGATATTGTGAAGGATATTACAACAAGGCGATTTTTGTGGCGGATTTTAACAAAGAAAAAGTTTGCTGACATTGGATAACATTTTTTGTGGATTTTGGAGTTGTGTTCGAAAAAAAACTTTTGAAGGAAAAAATGAATTTTCAATATGGCGTTTCCATTCCTACAAATAGAAAAATTGGATGAAGGGAATTATGATTCCTGACACATGCATATTAAAAGAGTTCTGATACATAACGAGCTGTGGAAGTATGAATGTGACCCAAGATGGGCAACGGAACAAAAGGTGGAATGGGTAAGTCGCCACGAGAAGGAGTTGGTGATGATTATTCTGAGCGTTAAGGGCAGCCAACATAATCGCATAAAGAAATGTAAGGTGTCAGCGGAAGCTTGGAAGCTAAAATTTACAAGTCAAATGGACCAGTTCAAAAGGTAATGCTTTTTAAAATACTTATGAATTTAAAAATGATTCGACTTGTTGCTTAAATACCTTGAACTTTTCAAAAACGTCACTCTTAGCTTTCATAAAGTACACAAAAACACGACGGGACTTGTCATCAATAAAATTGACGAAATATCTGGATCATCCGGCAGAATTTACATTTATCGGACCGCACACATCAGAATGAATCAGTTCCAATAACTCTTGGGTTCGGTGTTCCGACTTACTTGGGAAGGGAGCCACATGTATTTTGCTTAACATGCACGTCCTGCACTTCACATCGTTAACTTGCTTTGACAACTGCATACCATATCTGCAGTGCCATAACATATCTTTGTTGCTAGCTGCATTCAAACGATGATCACATGTCATGTTTACCACAAACATACTATCTTCTTTTCTTGCTTTTATGGTGACAAAACCATCAGTTTCCTTCATTTGTACGCCTTGCGAAGTGAAAATTGCCTTTCTCGACAGCCTTACTTATTGAGATAAAATTTCGGTGAAGATCCGGTTCACAAAACGTCTATTAACCTAACTTTGCACTCCGCAATAATAAGAACCTCACCTTTTATACCCTACACAACTATGTTGTCAGGGTATTATAGCTTTGCGCAGCCCCAAAAATTTATAACGTCGCGAAAAAATGGTCCTAGACCCACCTTTAAGTATACCGATCGTCATATCTCGACTAGCTGAGTCGATTTAGACATGTGTGTCCGTCCGTCCGTCCGTCTGTCCATTATAATTTGTAAACACATACAGGCCGTAGTTATAGACCAATCTTCACGAAATTTTGCATGTAGGAATGGTTCTGCCCAATGAAGACCCCTATTGTTTTTGGAAAAGATCTGTTAATATTTAGGGGATGAAATGGACCAAAAACTTTATTTTTGTTGGTTTTTCTGGTCGCTCCAGAGGCCGCAATTATGGCCCAAAGACCGCGAATTTTTGCATGGAGAAGTGAATCGGGCCAAAGAATAAGTATGCCTGTTTTGATATAGATCGGTCAATTTTTAGCGGGCCAAATGCACTTTGACTTTTGTGTGAAAAATTACAAAATTTGTATTCTATGGTGTATATATTTGCCCCTGAATGTCCTAGACCCGAGAAGTTGATAGTATGTTCAAGAGGTATGGTTGACCTTGAAATTGATACCAATAATATGGTCGTATGTATTCGGATGTGGGAGTTACACATAAATATTTACGGATGTTTACGTACTGAGATATTATTTAGTAACCCATTACCACTCTAGAGGGCGGAATTGTAGCGCTGATCGATTTGATCCATGAGATTCCAATTATGGTCAAGGACAACACCTATAATATTCGGTGATGATCACATAATCATTTTGGGATGAAATGAAAAGCCGAACATCACAACACAACCCACGGTGAAAGGAATATGGACAAATATTAGTAAAATTCGGAAAATATGTCAGTGTAAGGAAAAGGTGCTGTTGACCTTTAATCGGCAAGGCGGTGCAAATATCAGAAATATTGGCCAGGCTCGAAATAAACCTCAGCAGAAAGTTAGAGTTCCGTTGTGTAGGGTATCCTATGATCGGCCCCGTCCGACTATACTGCTCCGCTCACTGGTTCTAATTGCAGTTATGAACGGGTTACCGTAAACAAATCACGACTATTACGCATGTGCGATGTTGCACCACTATCTACATACCAAACATCACTCTTAAATCCGCCAGATGCTGCTAATATTGCACTTGAACGCCGCTCCTGCTCTATATTGTTTTCTCTGCAATATCGAGCAATGTGTCCTTTTCTTCCACAGACATTGCAAATGCCTGCTGTGCAGAACCAGCTTCCAATGTAGTATTCGTATTTGCACGATGTTCACCTTCATCTAACAGCTTCAATTCTAAAGCATGGAACGTCGGAAACATGTCTCGAGTCTTCATTGAAACAATAAAATTCTCTCAACTCGATGGCAAACTCGACAGAAGAATAATTACTATGTGCTCATCCTGCAACTCTATTGCTATGTCGGCCAATTTATCTACGATGTTTTGAAAATTTTTCATATACAAAGCTGCGTCTTCGTATATGAAAAATACGAACGCCAAACTGGAAAGAAAATTAAGATGCTACGGAGTGATAATGGACGTGAGTATATAAACCTATCAGTTTGATGCATATCTACAAGATCAGGGAATAGTACGGTGGCCTATATCCCACAACAAAATGGAGTAGCAGAAAGAGTTTATCGTACTATTGTGGAGATGGCTAGTTCCGTGTTGATTCATGCAAATCTTCCTCAACATCTGTGGGCAGAAGCTGTTTTAACTGCGGTGTATTTGCGGAATCGATTTCCAACAAAGGTTATATGTGAGAAAACTCCTTACGAAGTGTGGTTTGGAAGAAAGCCAAAGGTTAGTCATCTCAAAGTATTTGGTGTATGTGTAGTAGTTTTGAATAAAGGAAGGAACGTGAAATTTGATCCTAAAGGAAAACAATATATAATGATTGGCTATTCATTAGTTGCAAAGGCATATCGCTTATACGAGATAGAAGTAGTCAAACCGTGATAGAGAGACGTGACATAATCTTTTATGAAAGTGGTGTTCAAAATTCCAGCAGTGTCCAAAAACGGGGCAAGATTCGAAGATAAGAATTCATATTATATGGTCTCAGATATCGAAAACGAACAAGGTTCAGATTTGCCCGAAATTAATCCGGATTTAGATGGAATTGAAGAACAGGAAGAGAATTTCAACACCGCCGAAGAGAATGGTGGTAGTACAAAAGAAGACGAAGTAACGATTTAGCAAATTTGAGAGGAAAATAATGATTTAGAAGGAACTGTGAATCGAGGAGATCAGACAATAGGTCGCGGAGATCAGAGAATAGGTCGCTCAAACACCCGAAGTAGCCATGAATTGTGGAAAATCGGATGAATGGAAGAATGGATACCCTAAAGGAATGATTGCAGATGTATTTGCACTAAGAATTTGCAAAAAGTTAAACACAAGAAATTTGTAGAATTAATGAAATTAAAATAAAAATAATAATTAGGTATTTGGATTTTTTAAAATCTTTCTTAAAGGGCTACCACAAGGCGTGGATTTTTTAAAAATATTTTTTAAAGGGGTACCTTATGGTACCATATTTTCGGCTACATTTATTCCTCCTGAAAAAAAAACATGTGGCTATGGCGCCCCTACACATCCTATGCTGATAAGGGCCAATAAAATCCGACAAAAATAAAAAATATAATTTCAAATCTCTTCAACAAATGGTAACAAATCATGTGAATTTTGACACATAAACGTCAAAAATGAGAACATTTGGCAAATATGAAATGAAAAATAAATAAAAAAAGAAAATCAAAGAAAAAAACATTAAAAATTCATGATGGTAAAATATCAACACATTGTCGAACTTCTTTAAACCACGGGTGGTGTTAATATTTGACAAAGCGCCCGTCGAAAAACAAAAAGGAACAAAACGGAAGACCAACAACAAAGTTGGATGTTGAATGCAAATTATTTGTTCCTCTCTTCCTTACCGCACCGCACCGGCATCAAACAAATGGAAAATGTCAATACACAGGCAAACAAAAATCGGTATTTAATGGAAAACAAAGTTGACATAAGCATGGCAGCAGCAGTAGATATGCTTTAGGAGTTAAGGAGAACAGTGGTTAGCAGATGATTTCTTCGGAAATTATTTTCTGCAAAAAATATGACCCTTGAAAAAATATTTTTAAAAAATCCACGCCTTGCTAGGACAGTGGCTAAAAAAATATTTTTAAAAAATCCACGCCTTGCTAGGACAGTGGCTAAAAAAATATTTTTAAAAAATCCACGCCTTGCTAGGACAGTGGCTAAAAAAATATTTTTAAAAAATCCACGCCTTGCTAGGACAGTGGCTAAAAAAATATTTTTAAAAAATCCACGCCTTGCTAGGACAGTGGCTAAAAAAATATTTTTAAAAAATCCACGCCTTGCTAGGACAGTGGCTAAAAAAATATTTTTAAAAAATCCACGCCTTGCTAGGACAGTGGCTAAAAAAATATTTTTAAAAAATCCACGCCTTGCTAGGACAGTGGCTAAAAAATATTTTTAAAAAATCCACGCCTTGCTAGGACAGTGGCTAAAAAAATATTTTTAAAAAATCCACGCCTTGCTAGGACAGTGGCTAAAAAAATATTTTTAAAAAATCCACGCCTTGCTAGGACAGTGGCTAAAAAAATATTTTTAAAAAATCCACGCCTTGCTAGGACAGTGGCTAAAAAAATATTTTTAAAAAATCCACGCCTTGCTAGGACAGTGGCTAAAAAAATATTTTTAAAAAATCCACGCCTTGCTAGGACAGTGGCTAAAAAAATATTTTTAAAAAATCCACGCCTTGCTAGGACAGTGGCTAAAAAATATTTTTAAAAAATCCACGCCTTGCTAGGACAGTGGCTAAAAAAATATTTTTAAAAAATCCACGCCTTGCTAGGACAGTGGCTAAAAAAATATTTTTAAAAAATCCACGCCTTGCTAGGACAGTGGCTAAAAAAATATTTTTAAAAAATCCACGCCTTGCTAGGACAGTGGCTAAAAAAATATTTTTAAAAAATCCACGCCTTGCTAGGACAGTGGCTAAAAAAATATTTTTAAAAAATCCAGTGGCTAAAAAATATTTTTAAAAAATCCACGCCTTGCTAGGACAGCTAAAAAATATTTTTAAAAAATCCACGCCTTGCTAGGACAGCTAAAAAATATTTTTAAAAAATCCACGCCTTGCTAGGACAGTGGCTAAAAAATATTTTTAAAAAATCCACGCCTTGCTAGGACAGTGGCTAAAAAATATTTTTAAAAAATCCACGCCTTGCTAGGACAGTGGCTAAAAAATATTTTTAAAAAATCCACGCCTTGCTAGGACAGTGGCTAAAAAATATTTTTAAAAAATCCACACATTGCTAGGACCCTGCAAAAATATTTTTAAAAAATCCACGCCTTGCTAGGACCCCTGAAAAAATATTTCCAAAAATCCAGTGTTCGCCGAAGTCTTTCCAACACGAATCCCTACCTTAGCCTAGAAAGATGGATGTTGGGACGTGCCATGACTGGCAGCATGACATTAAACTAAAATGTCTAAAACAAGTGTTAAATCTAAAAAATATTTTTAAAAAATCCACGCCTTGCTAGGACAGTGGCTAAAAAAATATTTTTAAAAAATCCACGCCTTGCTAGGACAGTGGCTAAAAAAATATTTTTTAAAAAATCCACACTTTGCTAGGACCCCTGCAAAAATATTTTTAAAAAATCCACGCCTTGCTAGGACCCCTGAAAAAATATTTCCAAAAATCCAGTGTTCGCCGAAGTCTTTCCAACACGAATCCCTACCTTAGCCTAGAAAGATGGATGTCGGGACGTGCCATGACTGGCAGCATGACATTAAACTAAAATGTCTAAAACAAGTGTTAAATCTAAAAAATATTTTTAAAAAATCCACGCCTTGCTAGGACAGTGGCTAAAAAAATATTTTTAAAAAATCCACGCCTTGCTAGGACAGTGGCTAAAAAAAATATTTTTAAAAAATCCACGCCTTGCTAGGACAGCGGCTAAAAAAAATATTTTTTTAAAAACCACGCATTGCTAGGACAGTGGCTAAAAAAATATTTAAAAAAAAACCACGCCTTGCTAGGGCAGTGGCTAAAAAAATATTTTTAAAAAATCCATGCCTTGCTAGGACAGTGGCTAAAAAAATATTTTTAAAAAATCCAGTGGCTAAAAAATATTTTTAAAAAATCCACGCCTTGCTAGGACAGTGCCTAAAAAATATTTTTAAAAAATCCACGCCTTGCTAGGACAGTGGCTAAAAAATATTTTTAAAAAATCCACGCCTTGCTAGGACAGTGGCTAAAAAATATTTTTAAAAAATCCACGCCTTGCTAGGACAGTGGCTAAAAAATATTTTTAAAAAATCCACGCCTTGCTAGGACAGTGGCTAAAAAATATTTTTAAAAAATCCACGCCTTGCTAGGACATTGGCTAAAAAATATTTTTAAAAAATCCACGCCTTGCTAGGACAGTGGCTAAAAAATATTTTTAAAAAATCCACGCCTTGCTAGGACAGTGGCTAAAAAATATTTTTAAAAAATCCACGCCTTGCTAGGACAGCGGCTAAAAAAAATATTTTTTTAAAAACCACGCATTGCTAGGACAGTGGCTAAAAAAATATTTAAAAAAAATCCACGTCTTGCTAGGGCAGTGGCTAAAAAAATATTTTTAAAAAATCCATGCCTTGCTAGGACAGTGGCTAAAAAAATATTTTTAAAAAATCCAGTGGCTAAAAAATATTTTTAAAAAATCCATGCCTTGCTAGGACAGTGGCTAAAAAATATTTTTAAAAAATCCATGCCTTGCTAGGACAGTGGCTAAAAAATATTTTTAAAAAATCCACGCCTTGCTAGGACAGTGGCTAAAAAAATATTTTTTAAAAAATCCACACTTTGCTAGGACCCCTGCAAAAATATTTTTAAAAAATCCACGCCTTGCTAGGACCCCTGAAAAAATATTTCCAAAAATCCAGTGTTCGCCGAAGTCTTTCCAACACGAATCCCTACCTTAGCCTAGAAAGATGGATGTCGGGACGTGTCTAAAACAAATGTTAAATCTAAAATTCGTTTATTTTGTCGTATTTTTTGGTGTTGTTGCTATTTTTTCAAAAAAAAAAAAAAAATTAAAAAAAATGTGTGAAAACAATAACACACTAATGCACTCAAGACACGTTTTATCCTTCTTTCATTGTTTCATGACTTGGTGTTCGGTGGCGTGTTTTTGTTGTTGTCGCCTTTTTTCCCCATTTTGGTCTGTTTGAGAATTCAGCAGTGAGGCATACACACACAGCCACACAAACAAATGAAGTGACAGCCAGAAAGAACAATTGCAACAAATCACTGACAATGACAACACTTGAGTGTTGCCTTGTTTTTCACTTGAATACCAAACAGATGAGGAGGATGAAGGCGAGGACGAAGAACAAGGAGCGACTAGATCGTATTCATCAACAGTAGCCAGAGACTTATGGAGGCACACATCTGTTGAGAGGCCGAAGGATTAAGAAGGGAGGAAGTGTCATCAAGTGCCTTCGTCTGTCTCCTCATCCTAGTGAAAATGTACATTAAGTAGTGCTTAGTACAAAAAGGCTTTGTAACGCATTTACACGCATATTCTGGTCTTTCGGATTTTCTTCTTCGAACTCATTGGGGAGGAAATGGCCAAAAGGCAATGGAGGGTGGATTGCAAATTTTAAGGATATTGGGATTTTCTAAAGAATATTTTTCGAGGCGTGGATTTTTTAAAGAATATTTTTAGAGGCTCTAAACGAGGCGTGGATTTTTAAAGAATATTTTTCCAGGTTCTCTACAAGGCGTGGATTTTTTAAAGAATATTTTTCCAGGGTCTCTACAAGGCGTGGATTTTTTAAAGAATATTTTTCCAGGGTTTCTACAAGGCGTGGATTTTTTAAAGAATATTTTTCCAGGGTCTCTACAAGGCGTGGATTTTTTAAAGAATATTTTTCCAGGGTCTCTACAAGGCGTGGATTTTTTAAAGAATATTTTTCCAGGGTCTCTACAAGGCGTGGATTTTTTAAAGAATATTTTTCCAGGGTCTCTACAAGGCGTGTATTTTTTAAAGAATATTTTTCGAGGGTCTATACAGGGCGTGGATATTTTAACGAATATTTTTGCAGGACCTCTCAGCCTATAAGGTGTGGATTTTTTAAAGAATATTTTTGTAGGACCTCTCAGCGTGGATTTTTTAAAGAATATTTTTGCAGAGCCTCTCAGCCTACAAGGTGTGGATTTTTTAAAGAATATTTTTGCAGGACCTCTCAGCCTACGAGGCGTGGATTTTTTTAAGAATATTTTTGCAGAGCCTCTCAGCCTACAAGGTGTGGATTTTTTAAAGAATATTTTTGCAGGACCTCTCAGCCTACGAGGCGTGGATTTTTTAAAGAATATTTTTCGCGGGTGTCCACAAGGCGACGATTTTTTAAGAATATTTTTCGCGGGTGTCCACAATGCGTCGATTGTTTAAGAATATTTTTCGAGGCTCTAACCAAGGCGTGGATTTTTTTAAAGAATATTTTTTGAGGCTCTAACCAAGGCGTGGATTTTTTAAAGAAAATTTTTTGAGGCTCTAACCAAGGCGTGGATTTTTTAAAGAATATTTTTTGAGGCTCTAACCAAGGCGTGGATTTTTTAAAGAATATTTTTTGAGGCTCTAACCAAGGCGTGGATTTTTTAAAGAATATTTTTTGAGGCTCTAACCAAGGCGTGGATTTTTTAAAGAATATTTTTTGAGGCTCTAACTAAGGCGTGGATTTTTTAAAGAATATTTTTGGAGGACTACCACAAGGCGTGGATTTTTTAAAGAATATTTTTTGAGGCTCTAACTAAGGCGTGGATTTTTTAAAGAATATTTTTTGAGGCTCTAACTAAGGCGTGGATTTTTTAAAGAATATTTTTGGAGGACTACCACAAGGCGTGGATTTTTTAAAGAATATTTTTGGAGGACTACCACAAGGCGTGGATTTTTTAAAGAATATTTTTGGAGGACTACCACAGGCGTGGATTTTTTAAAGAATATTTTTGGAGGACTACCACAGGCGTGGATTTTTTAAAGAATATTTTTGGAGGACTACCACAAGGCGTGGATTTTTTAAAGAATATTTTTGGAGGACTACCACAAGGCGTGGATTTTTTAAAGACTACCACAAGGCACAATATTTTTTGCAGGACCTCCCAGACTACAAGGCATGGATTTTTTAAAAAATATTTTTGCAGGACCTCCCAGCCTACAAGGCATGGATTTTTTAAAGAATGTTTTTGCAGGACCTCCCAGCCTACAAGGCGTGGATTTTTTAAAGACTAGTTTTCGGGACATAACATACCATCTTTCCGACAAATTGCTTTGTCTTCTTTTTTTCACCCGAGCCATACAATGTGTCAAATGGTGCATTTAAAAAATATCGTTTGCTACGTCATGAGTGTGAGTGTGTGATGCTGGAGGTGTCGTGTGTCTGAGGTGACACAGACCCAAACCGAATGCAAATGCAATTTTGTTGTTACATTTTTAGAGGTAACAGCCATTACAATGGCAACATCCGGAATATATTTTTCGAACAAAAAAAAATATAGCCCAGTCTGGCAGTCGACACACGCATCTCAAGAGTTTGGGTGCCTAATTTCAGATACCGTACCGTACATATGTATGTATTGTGTACCGTATTTATCTTCAGACAAAGATGTGTCAATGAATGAATGCATCAATTGCTTGGCTTCGACATCGGTTTGGAAGCTGTTGTCTAACATGACAGAGTACAGAGAGAGAGTGTCAATATTTAAATCGTTAAAAAATTGCCATTGTCATGGTTGTTTCATCTGTTGTTGCATTATTCTTGAACTTCTTTGTTGTGCAATGTATTATATTGCATTTTGAAATGACAAGTGACAATTTTACATGTTTGCTCGGTTTTAGCTCCGTTTTAAATACTTCCCCTTAATCACTTGAGGAGTTTCTTTGAATGACAGAAGTTTAGATGTCGATGATGAGCATAGAAATTGCAACAGCTGCAGGAGAAGTCGTTCGGTTTGTGACAGTCACAATTGTTTTGTCAGTCAAAACAAATTTGTCATTGTTTTTCCAATGTCAAGTTCGGTATTAGCAGCAATTAGAGATGATAGTGCTGGGAAACTGTTGTTTTTTATGGAATGCGAAGTTAATTAATTTTAATAGGCTGGGAAATTTGAATGTGTATTGATTGTAAGAGGTAATGCTTTAGAAAAAGGAATCACATCTCTTTGTGAGAAGTTTATTTTATATTATTTATATGTCGACGTGTGTGGGATAGTCATTTATTTCTAGAGGACCTGTAGATGGCCTATTGCAGTGTTACCATTCGAAAACAAAATGTCCTTAAAAAAGGGATTTTTCGCATCAAATTTGATCTAAATTGCCCAAGACGGCTGCACAGGTTTATTACCCGTTGAATAATAGTGTCCATCGCTGGAACTATTTTTCAGGGACTTGCTGGGTTATACAATTAGATTTCAATGAATATTTTGTCGAGGACTATCAGAGCCACAGTCGTGTTTGTTTTTTCAAAGAAACTATTGGATTTTATAAAGTTTTAGCAGGAACTGTTAGAGCCACAAGCGAGGATATTTTAAAGAATTTGTTCTGGGACCAGTAGAGGTACACTACTTAAAAAATGTCTGCACCTGTAGAGCCAACATCGATTTTTCATTTTTTTGCTAACAGACTAAAATCAATTTTTCTAATATTATTTTTCTTTGTACACAATTATCAGTTCTTTTGGGGTTTTCAGATATCCCCATAGGGTAATGTAGATCCCCAAGGGTCTATGTATAATGGCCAGAGGTTCATATGCTTGGGACTTGCTCATAAAACATCTAAATAGAAACCGCTAAGAAGACATTTTAGTATAGAAAACGACATTCAATTATAGAAAAGCATTGCCTTATGTATAGGAAGTCATGAGAAGACCAAGGCTTGTAGGAAGAATATTTGATTTTCCTAAATAGTGATATAGGAGAAGTTGTCGAAAGGTTCGGCATGTATAATAGGAGGTACTTTGAGGTCACAGTGATCCTGAAAAGACTGAGGATTGTAAGAGGAACTGTTGATGGGGTTTTGCTATAATGTACAAAATTTCTGAAGGATCTGATTAGAAGATGAGGAGTTTCTTATAATTCCTACTAAAATAACGGGAACATCTCAACAATTATATTTGTATCATGCTGTCATACTGAACCGGTAATCACTTGAAATAGATGAAATAGATGGCCTTATGAAAGATCCGACTAATATTGGAGGCCATGAGGGGAAAGTGGTTTTTACGAGAGGTTTTGGGAAGTTTCAGGAAGGACTTCAATAAACTATAACTATAAAATCTATAAAATCTCAAGGCATAAACATTTTCGGAGGACTGTCATTGGTAAACATATTAAACAGATTTTTAAGGTACTATCAGTTGAAAAGGCGGTGATTTGTTATTGATTTTTTCTCGCAGGACCTAATTGTACAGAAATATTTCTCGACAGGCTTTCAGTCTCCAAGGAACAGACTATGTGCTTCCAAGGCGTTAACTTTTTGGCGCCATTTTTTTAAAGAATATTGAATACTTCCCCACAGATGCCTCCAAGGCGTGGATTTCTTTAAAGAATATTTGTTGAAGTTCCACAGAAGTCTCTAAGGCGTGGATTTTATAAAGAATATTTTTCGAAGTTTCACAGAAGTCTCCAAGTCGAGGATTTTATAAAGAATATTTTTCGAAATTCCACAGAAGTCTCCAAGGCGAGGATTTTATAAAGAATATTTTTCGAAGTTTCACAGAAGTCTCCAAGTCGAGGATTTTATAAAGAATATTTTTCAAAATTCCACGAAGTCTCCAAGGCGAGGATTTTATAAAGAATATTTTTCGAGGTTCCATAGAAGCCTCCAAAGTATAAAATTTTCTAAATAATATTTTCAAGGTTCCAGAGAAGTATCCGAAGAGTGTTTTTTTTTTTTTAAAGAATATTTTCCGGAGTTCCACTGAAGCCTCCAAGGCATGGATTTTTTTAAAGAATATTTTTTTTAATTTCCCAAGACGTGAAGATTTTAAAGAATATTTTTCCAAAGACGTCGATTTTTTAGAGAATATTTATTAAGTTTCACTGAATTCTTCAAGGCGTGGATTTTGAATTGAAAGAGCTCCTGAAAATAGTTCTGGCATGGGAAGATTTTCTTAAAATTCCGAATTACATAAGACGAACTTCTAACACATAACAAGTCTACATATTACAAAAAAGGCTTCAATGAAGGGGGTTTGAATCAGTCTGAATACTACAAAAGGTTACCCAAGTGACCGACGTAGTATATAACTCCCGAATATCACAATTGGAGCATTTCTGAGAGATCTCATCGGAGTAGGAATATTTATTGAGAATACTGAACTCAAGAACCTGAGGGGTTCGAAAAGTAGTTTTTTTTTAGAAGAATATCACGATGTGTAACTGAAAGATCGATATAGTATTTGATACGTTGCTGAGAGTTTTAAAGTATGTAGGAATATCGTCTTAGAACTTCGTAAATATGTACAATATGGGTGGAGTTTCTTAAAGGTTCAAATAGGCGTTTAGAACCCCGAATTGTTTTCAAGATTCTTTTGAGAGGTCATAATTTACGGCTCGACGGTACGAGGAGTTCTTGAGGGGTCTTTATACTGCGGAAAGAGATTCGTATATCTTCTGGTACGAATATCAAAAAAGTCGATATAATAATAGTACTGAAGGTTATTCTGAAAGTCCAGTGTAGAATGCCCCTGATTGGTTCAAATAGTACCGACAATTGTTAAACAAATCGACCACATCATTTTGAAGGGATCTAATAGTATTTAACCAGCTTTTTTGGATTGCGATTAACATAAGAGTATTTCTGAGGGACTTCCAGGAAGTCCGAAATATATTGAAGTCAGAAAACTCTGTATGATAAATATGGAGCTCCGAAGATGGCTGACAATTTTAAGAGAAGCACTTACGAGTTGGCGTTTCAGCATAGAAGGATACCATTCTTCAAGTTCGGAATATTGTATAAAAAGCTGTTGACACAAGAGGTCCTTCTAATACATTAGGGTGCCTTGAGCGGATCTAATAGGTACGTCAACGTCCAAATACTATTGAAGGATTTTTAGAGAGCCTCGAAACCAAAAGTCAGATATGGTGTAAGCTTCTGAAAAGTCTAAATAGTGGATCCCGAGAGCCTTGAAACCTTGGAAGGATCGAGTAACATGTACTAATGATAGATCGGAATAGTGAAATAGTGGTTCATGAGATACGTGATTGGAGAAAGAGGTAAATCATTAAAACCTGAAAGGGGAAAGACAATTATGACAAATTCCGAATTATTATCTGCCTCCAAGGCGTGCAGATATTTTCAAGATTCTCGAAAGCCTATTAAGCCTCAAAGACGTGATTTTTTTAAGAAAATATGTCGGAGAACTATCAATTTTATAGGAATTTTTGTTGAAGGGCCATCTTCAAGGAAGGACTATCCATAGCGAGAATATTGAATGAATATTTTCCGTAGGATTCTATGTCGTGGATTTCTTTGAGGGATATTTTTGGAGGGCCCTGAATAATTCTCCAGATTTCTGATTTTGTAGAAATATTTCTCGACAGGTTTGCGGTGTCCTATGAGGATTTGTTTGCAATATTTTTAGAAGGTCTATCAGCCATCAAAGTATGTATTCCCAAAGAATATATATCGAAGGACTATGGACCTCCAAGGGGCAGATTTTATTGAAATACTTGTTGAAAAACTGAAATATTTTTCGTATTTTCTAGGAATATTTTTCCGCAGGCTATCGGTCTCCTAGAACCGGATTTTTGCAATATTTCGTAGGACTCTCAGTTGAGAATTTTTGTTAGGAATATATTTGGAGAGCCCAGAATATTTCTCCACGGCATGAAATTTGTAGTAATATTTCTTGAAAGGTTATCGGTCTCCACGGGGCAGATTTGATTGAAATACTTTTCAAAGAACTGAAATATTTTTCGGATTTTGTAGAAATATATCTCCACAGGCTATCGGCCTCCTACCCCCACTCTGATTTTATGAATGAATCATAGCAAAATAATTTCCTAAAAATTTTTAGACATGACAAATTTATAAGAATTCCAAAGGAATGTTAGTAATTTTCTGAGGGCTACTCTAATCCTTTGATTGATTGCTGAGAAACAATTTTTCCGCCCTGAATCCTCCTCCCTAACACATCAGTCATAATGAAAATTTTCTAAGCTGAAAAAATACAATTTGCAATAAATTACAACAAATCCCAACTAATTTACTAACGAACAAACATACACACCACTCTTCGATGGCGTAAAAAAATCGGACAAGAAGTAAAGGAGGAGGTGGTTCAAATCGTTATGTCTTTAACAATTTTAAAAATAATATTCTGACACACCACAAAAATCAAACAAACTGAGGAGGTGATGTGATGATGATGGAGACAAGGATGCTGGGAAGAGATCTTTAACTAGAAGATGTAATCATTTGAGAAGTAGCAAAAAAAAAACGAAAAACTCTAATGGGTGGCTAGTGTGAAGCTACAAATTTAAGATCAACCGAATCCCATAACGAAAAAAAAAAAACAACTCCATTGGCAGCTTCCATCATCCGTGTGCGGATGGTAGGTTGGTTGCCACTTCTGTATACAGTAGCAGCAGAGACATATCCACACATCACATTATCCCCATCGCTTGTCTCGAATTGTAACCGCAACATTCGCAACCATATCGAAATTACATTTGTGTCTGCCGGCAAGCTAGCCAACCAGTCAGCCTGCCTGCAAGCCAGGCAGTCAGTCATCCAGCCACCGGCAGTCACCGCAGAGCATGACTAAAGTGATATATGTCCCGTGTGTTGCATTAACACGCTTGCAAACAATTTCGCTTTTTTTTTTGTTGTTTTTGTTTCAGTTTCGGATATTTGCGGATATTTACTTTAACTCTGGGGGCATTATTCTCATAGAGTCACATTTGGTTCGGTTCGGATGGTGATGGTGGGAGACCAATTTTTGGCGGCTACTGTTTCACACAAATGTCCCATGCAGGCACACACCCAGATACTCAGACAAATGGATGGATGGTCGGATGGATAGATGTGATGCACAATTTCCCGAAAAATACGAATAGGGACAAATGTAGGAGGAAATGACAGATAATATTGTTAAAACTTTGGCAGAACATATGAATGGAGCTTTGGGGTCCCATTCCGAACAATGGGAAAGTTCCTCCTAAGGGATGACAGAGGAAATTTTTCAAATAAAAATACATTTAAAAAAGTATGACCTTCAAGATGGAAAACATTCAATTCAAAACTCTCCAAGGCGTGGATTTATTAAAGAATAGTTTTCAAAGGGTCTCTACAAAGAGTTGATTTTTTTAAAGAATATTTTTCGAGGGTCTCTACAAGGCGTAGATTTTTTAAAGAATTTTTTTCGAGGGCCTCTACAAGTTGAGTATTTTTTAAAGGAATATTTTTTGAGGGTCTCTACCAAAGGCGTGGATTTTTTAAAGAATTTTTTTTGAGTGCCCCTACAAGGTGGGTATTTTTTAAAGGAATATTTTTTGAGAATCTCTACAAGGCGTAGATTTTTTAAAGAATATTTTGTGAGGGCCTCTACATGGTGGGGATTTTTAAAGAATATTTATGAGGGTCTCTACAAGGCGTGAATTTTTTAAAGAATATTTATGAGGGTCTCTACAAGGCGTGGATTTTTTAAAGAATATTTATGAGGGTCCCTACAAGGCGTGGATTTTTTAAAGAATATTCATGAGGGTCTCTACAAGGCGTGGATTTTTTTAAATAATATTTATGAGGGCCTCTACAAGGCGCGGATTTTTTAAAGAATATTTTTTAGAGGCGTGGATATTTTTAAAGAACATTTTTTCAGAGGCCTCTACAAGGCGTGGATTTTTTAAAGAATATTTTTGAGGGTCTCTACAAGGCGTGGATTTTTTAAAGAATATTTATGAAGGTCTCTACAAGGCGTGGATTTTTTAAAGAATATTTATGAGGGTCTCTACAAAGCGTGCGTGGATTTCTTAAGAATATTTTTTCAGGGTCTAGCCAAGGCCAAGGCGTGGATTTCTTAAGAATATTTTTTCAGGGTCTAGCCAAGGCCAAGGCGTGGATTTCTTAAGAATATTTTTTTCAGGGTCTAGCCAAGGCGTGGATTTCTTAAGAATATTTTTTTCAGGGTCTAGCCAAGGCGTGGATTTCTTAAGAATATTTTTTCTGGGTCTAGCCAAGGCCAAGGCGTGGATTTCTTAAGAATATTTTTTCTGGGTCTAGCCAAGGCCAAGGCGTGGATTTCTTAAGAATATTTTTTCTGGGTCTAGCCAAGGTCAAGGCGTGGATTTCTTAGGAATATTTTTTCTGGGTCTAGCCAAGGCCAAGGCGTGGATTTCTTAAGAATATTTTTTCTGGGTCTAGCCAAGGCCAAGGCGTGGATTTCTTAAGAATATTTTTTCTGGGTCTAGCCAAGGCCAAGGCGTGGATTTCTTAAGAATATTTTTTCTGGGTCTAGCCAAGGCCAAGGCGTGGATTTCTTAAGAATATTTTTTCTGGGTCTAGCCAAGGCCAAGGCGTGGATTTCTTAAGAATATTTTTTCTGGGTCTGGCCAAGGCGTGGATTTATTAAGAATACAAGGTGGGGATTTTTTCAAGAATATTTTTTGAGGGCCTCTGAGGGTCTACAAGGTGGGGATTTTTTCAAGAATATATTTTGAGGGCCTGTATTCCAGAATATTTTTGAGGTGGGGATTTTTTTAAAGAATATTTTCCACAGAAGCCTCCAAAAGGCTTCTCAAGAGGTAATTTGGGTAAATTATTCCTTCAATTAATTATTGATTCATGTCATTTTAGGTAGCCTAAAAATACATAATTTTTTTCTTAAATAATCAGTACCCGAATAAATTACGCCGACCACAATTTGTATGTGCCTAATCCAAGAATCTCAAATAATGAGAATTACATTTCTATGCCAGAGATGAAGTCAAATTTGTTGCGGTTATAAATTTTGTTTAAAAAAATAAATTTCCATTTGAATAGAAAAAATCGAAAAACGAAGAAGAAGAAAATCTATAGAAAGGCCATGGAGGTCATAAAGTCCACAAAAAAATGGGTAAAAAAATTACAATAATATTTCTTGAAAACCAAATGAAGTGGAAAGAAATGGAAATCGAACAAAAAAGAATTACGACACTAACAAATGATGATTTGATGTAAAGAGGAGCGGAATAGAGTAGCACAAAGTCATCAAAAGTTAAACACCAACATCATCCACCACCACTACATCATGGATGCAGAACAAGGAGAAGATGGACGGACCTACAATTGGAAGAAGACGAAGTAGAAAAGAAAATAAAAACACTGAACCGAAATTGTGATGTATGGCACGCATTTCCTGCTTAGGAGTAGGACGGACTCGCCCAGGCACAGGCACAGACAACAAACAAATAGACCGATCGAATGCACTCCAGCACCGACCCGGCAAGTTGACTGGCTACCTGCCTAGACAGCAGTTTTGTGTATTAATTAGGTTTCCTTTTTGTTAAGTACCCTGTTCGAAAAAAAATGTATTCCAAAATCGTTTCACACGTACCTCATCATCATCATCAAATGCCCTGCTGTCAGGCAGGTGAATGGATGGATAGGTGGATAAGTTAAAGAGTGTGACGTTTCTTGGCGGTAATACCTATTAGCTGCAGGGTAATTTGTTATCCTCTGCGAAGTTTTTGTCTATGGAATTTTAAAATTTAAATTCAGAACTTACTTGGATTATTGTTGGTTTCGCGCCAATGTGTTGCCGCCTGACAGCCAAATGTTGCTCGACTAATGCCCTTACAGCAGGACCATCGTTTGCCCGACCAGAGACCAGGATGAAAACGATATGATTTGGGTGTGTTGGTGTCTTCACAAACTGGAAAGAAAAGAAATTAAAAGAAAAATCAATTCTGAGGGTTCAGCAAAATGTACGGAATTAAACAAAAATATTGAAAATTTTTTCACAAATTATTTTGTGGGTTTCCGGTAAGGCGTGGATTTTTTAATGAATATTTTTCGAGGGTCTCTACAAGGCGTTAATTTTTTTAAAGAATATTTTGTCGAGGGTCTCTACAAAGCGTGGATTTTTTAAAGAATAATTTTCAAGGCGTGGATTTTTGAAAGAATATTTTTCGAGGGATCTAAAGAATAATTTTCGAGGGTCTCTACAAGGCGTGGATTTTTTAAAGAATATTTTTGAGGGTCTCAGATAAGGGGTGGATTTTTTAACATTATTTTTTGAGGTTTTCAGATAAGGCGTGTTTTTTTAAATTTATTTTTTAGGGTCCACAACAGGCGTGGTTTTTTTTAAATTTATTTTTGAGGGTTTCAGGTAAGACGTGGATTTTTTAAAAAATATGTTTGAGGGTCCACAACAGGCGTGGGGCAAATGCCTTTACTAATAAAAGAGATTGACTGACTGGCTGATTTAACGATTCATCTACGCCCAGACAAAACGGCTGAAGAAACAATCTTGAAATTTTGGGTGAGGGTCATTCTTGGGCCAATGGTGACAGAAAAGGCTGGGTGTGATATCATTTGTATTTGACGAACCGCTAGAGCTAGAACTTTTAAATTTTAAATGAGGGTCACTGATGGAGTGTAGAATAGATATAGCAAAGGACATTTTTGGACATTCGAACTATAAGTATGCGAAAAGTACTAAAATGTACTAAATTTAGTACAATTTCGTAGCATGTGAATGAATAGAGTTAAAAATTTGAAATTTGGAATGCAAATTAAGGTTGAGAAGCAAGGTCGATATAAGGAACTGGCTTTGGAAGCGTGTACTTACGTATACGAAAAGTACTATGTGGTACTATATTCGGTACAAATTTAATTTGGATTCGAGTTGGAATCCTGAAAATTTAAATTAACATTACCGTCGAAGTTTAGGATTGGGATATGTCGTTGTTTTGGATTTTTTTTTTTGCTTATGTGTACGAAAAGTACTAAATCGTACTATAATTGGTACAATATGGATTTGGGTGAACCGATAGAGCTGGAACAATGCAATTTGGAGTCAGGATCACTTTTGGGGTGTAGGATTATGGTATGTAGAGAATTTTGAAAATTCGTACTAATGTGTACTATGTGGTAACAAATTTGGATTTGGGTGAACCGATAGAGCTGGAAGCTTTACATTCGGAGTTAGGGTCATTGTTTGGGTAGAATTGAACTATTTAGGAAATTTTGGAAATTCCTACTAATGTGTACTAAATTTTGGCTGAACCGATGCGATAAAGTTTTGGAAATTTGTAACTAAATGGTACCAAATGCGGGTTTGAGAGAACCGATTGAGCTGGAATTTTGAAATTTGACGTTCGGTTCACTTATGGGGTGTATGATTGGGCTTTGTGGAAAGTTTTGGAAATGCATACTAATGTGTACTAAATTTGGTACAAGTTAATTTTTATGTGAACCAATTGAGCTGGAAATCTTGAAATTTGGAAATAAGGTTACTGTTAGAGTGTAGTATTGGGGTATGGATGTAGATTTGGAAATTCCTACTTATGGGTTCTAAATTGTACTAAATTTGGTACAATTTGAATTTTGTGTAAACGGATAGAGCTGGAATCCTGCAATTTGGAGTTACGATCTTTGTTGGTATGTAGTATTTGGAAATTCATACTAATTTGTACTAAATGGTACCAAATTTATATTTGGGTGAACCGATAGAGCTTGAATTTTTAAGTTGGATGTTAGTATCACTGTTGGGGTGCAGGGTTTGGCTTTGTAGAAAGTTTTGGAAATTCGTTCTAATGTATACTAAATTTGGTACAAATTAAATTTTTGGTGAACCAGTATATATGGAATCCTGAAATTTGGCTTTAGGGTTACTGTTGGGATGTAGGATTGGGCTACGTAGTATATTTTGGATACTTATACTAATGTGTACAAAATAGTACCAAAGGTGGATTTGGGTGAACGGATAGAGCTGGAATCTTAAAATTTGGTGTTAGGATCACTGTAGGAGTGAACCGATAGAGCTGGAATCTTGAAATTTGATGGTAGAATCACTGTTGGAATGTAGGACTGGACTTTGTGGGAAGTTCGTACTAATGTGTACTAAATTTTGTACAATTTAGATTTTGGGTGAACCAATACAGCTGGAATCCTGAAATTTTGAGTTAGGTTACAGTTGGTGTGTAGAATTGGTCTTTGTAGGAAGTTTTTTAAATTTGTACTAATGTGTACAAAACAGTACCAAATATGGATTTGAGTAAACCGACAGAGCTAGAATATTGAAATTTGAAGTAAGGATCACTGTTGGGGAGTAGGATAGGGATGTTTACTAATATGTACTAAATAACACTAAATTTGGTACAGTTTGGATTAGAAGCTAACCGATAGAGCTGGAATCCAGAAATTGAGTATTAAGATTTCCATTGGATTGCATGATTTCCATTGCAAGTAATGGCAATTTATATTAATGTTTACTAACTGGTACTTAATTTGAAATTTGGAAATTTTACACGAGTACAAAGGGTAAAAAATTACCACAAAATTTTGTATAGAGCTAAATTTGTTTTGCGGTCAGAATTGGTGTGTAGGGTTGAGATATGGAGGTAGTTTTGGAAAAACGTACTATAGGAGTACATAGGTACTAAATGGTTCCAGAAGTGTTAATAATGTTTGATATTGGGTTTTAAATACTTCCCACATTCGCTAACGAAGTAGCGGGTATATGCTAGTTTAGAATATTTTCCGAGGCTTCCTGCAGTGATTTTTTTAAACATAACCATTTTATGTTTTTTAATTCTCATAAAACCTTTTACTAAATTATTTTAAAATCATATTTATATAAATGTCTACTAGTTTTTATGACATTATAAATACTGTCTACTGCTCTTAAATGGTACCTCCGACAATATTTTTATTGAAAAAAACAAAAATATTGATAGTGAGAAAAGTGCCAAAAAAGCCCAACATAAAAGTTAAATTAAAAATAAGGCGGCAAAGAAAGCCAATAATCGTAAAAAATACTCAGGCTCCCAAATTAACGAAAAATAGTTAAGAAATAAAATTCATATCAAAAAAATCTTAAACTAAAAAACACCAGCAACTATCGTTTAATGAAAACTGGTGGGGAGTAGCTCAGAAAAGCAACAAAGATAATGAAATTTAAGTCCAACCAAAAAACAAGAAAACTTCGTTAAGACAACCCACATCAATGGAGGGAATCATAAAAAGAGACTATACACCAAGCTGAGTATGACTGAGGTGGAGACACCAGAGACAACAGAGGGCAAGCTTCAAGAAAAATTTTCTACAGGATTAGAAATTGGGTCAATACATAAACGAATAGTTCAAATTATCAAGAGTCAAAAGATCACGACATTAGTAGCATCATCACCATCGACGTCTTTGTCGACAACACCAGCATTCTGCCAGACAGCCAGCCAGCCACACCACAAGATACCACCACATTATGATGATGGCATTGCTACACCATGGAATAACACATCTTCCAACTATCTTCTTCTCCTCCATCTCTTCTGTGTAATCATAAACCAATATAGCCTAGCTAAAAAGAACAAAAAGGAACACCAAAATCTAATCAAATCAAGCCGCAAAAAAGCATCCACAGAAACCCCAATACCTGCAAATAATGGCCAAAAATGGTTGGAGGGACTTGACAGACTTTCTCATGAGGCTGGGGAGAAAGAGTAAAACATAATAATAACCGTTAGAAAAATTAACAACTATTTAAACAAGTGTAAAACCACAAAGCCACAAAAATATATAATTTGCTGTATGTCTTGTTGTAGTAGGAGGAGGTGTTTTTACACCAACACACCTTTTTCCGCTTGCGTGTCATTCCCTTTTGGAATAAATTGGGGGAAATATAAATTTACTATTTTTTAAACCAATCGGACCCACCTGGAGAGTTTGGTGCAGAATCTACATCTAACTTCTATGTTATACTAACTTCAGTACGTTGTGCAAAATTTTGTGTCAATATTGTGTAAAATCGGACAAAAATATATATGTAGAAGCTATATCTAAATCTGAACCGATTTCCACGAGACTTGCCAGAGATTAATTGATTTTCACTACAGTTCACTGTACAAAATTATGTGGCAATCGGACAAACTTTGGGTCTTTAGTGAACAATAAAATCGGAAGAAAATATATACACATCATTCTATATCTATATCTGAAAGGATTTTTACGAAACTTAGCACACATCATTCTAGACCTAATGCATTATGCTGTACCAAATTTCGTGCAAATTGAAAGATATATAGGGACTTTGGTACCGCATTTACCTTAAATCGGACGAAAATAAATATGGGAGCTATATCTTAATCTGGACCGATTTTCACGAAACTTATCACACATCATTTTAGACCTAATTCATTACGCTGTGCCAAATTTGGTGCAAATTGAAAGATATTAAGGGACTTTGATACACCATTTACCCTAAATCGGACGAAAATATATATGGAAGCTATATCTAAATCTGAACCGGTTTTCACGAAACTTAGCACACATCATTCTAGACCTAATTCATTACGATGTACCAAATTTCGTGCAAATCGAAAAATGTATAGGAACTATGGTACACCATTTACCTTAAATCGGATGAAAATATATATGGGAACTATATCTATATCTGAACCGATTTTCAAGAAACTTAGCACATATCATTCTAGACCTAATTCAGTAGGCTATACCAAATTTCGTGCAAATTGAAATATATTAAGGGACTTTGATACACCATTTACCTCAAATCGGACGAAAATATATATGGGAGCTATATCTAAATCAGAACCGATTTTCACGAAACTTAGCACACGTCATTCTAGACTTAATCCAATACGCTATGCCATAATTCGTGCAAATCAAATGATGGTCACGGACTTTGGTGCACTTACCTAAAATCGGGCGAAACTATATATGGGAGCTATATCTAAAACTGAACCGATTTTCACGAAACTTAGCACACATCATTCTAGACCTAATTCATTGCGCTGTACCAAATTTCATGCAAATCGAAAGATATTAAGGAACTTTGATACAACATTTACCTTAAATCGGACGAAACTTAGCACACATCATTCTACACCTAATTCAGTAGGCTATACCAAATTTCGTGCAAATAGAACGATATATAGGGACTTTGATACACCATTTACCTTAAATCGGACGAAAATATATATGGGAGCTGAACCGATTTTTCCCAATTTCAATAGGGTTCGTCCTTGGCCCAAACAAATGAGCTGTGCCAAATTTTATCCAGTTCGGATCATAAATGCGACCTGTACTTTGTTTACAATTTAACATGGACATCGACTTAGAAAGTGATTCTATGCATATTCTCAAAAAAAACCTCGATTACTTTTACTGGTTACAAACATATGCACAAAGACATAATACCCTGTACCACAGTGTGGTGAAGGGTATAAAAATGTATTTAAAAATCTCAATTATCTTCCAAAAAATCACTTCCTTTGCGAAGTAAAAAAAGAAATCCTATCATATCCTTGTAAGCTCTACTTACCTTGTCTTATGGCACGTATCCAATCGTGTCGTTCCTTTTCACTGTTGGCTACCAAATACAGGGTATACTGAGGAACGGTACGCTGCGATTGATCATCTGTTGATTCACAATAGCCTACTTGGAAAGGATAACCCTGCAGAACAGACGTAGAAAAAATACAAAAAAAAAAAATAAATTAAAAATCAACTAAAAAATTAAACGAAAAATAAATATGGGGATAAAAAATTAGGTACTCACATCCGGTGCAAAAGGATCTCCACCTTCACCATTAACTGTGGCTACTTCGACGAGACGGACGCCCTTAACGGGAATGCGGCCACGTTCACGACGACGCTGCAATGAAATGGAGAAAAAAATTGGAAATTTTTTAATAACAACAATAATTTTTTGTGCGGAATGAAGCCTTTAAAAATTAAGGACATTTTTTTAACAGGATCAGAAGTACAAGAAAATAATATTTTTTATATCCTCCTCTCTTTCCACAATAATTGAGTTGTTATTTTTATTAGACATCTCTCGTCCTGAAAGCCCAACAGGCAGGCAGACAGGCCACATGTTAATGTTGATGTTATGGATATCCTTTTGAGAGCTTTGCATATTTCAAAGGATAATAAAAAGCAACAGGCCAGGTCACAACATTCATGAAATATTAACACTTCAAAGAAAGGTACGCACCAGAAAAAAAACTGACTGAAGCCCCGAAGCCTGCCTGCCACAAGTGTGACTTTAATATTTCATTGCAAATGGGAAAGAAAAAATGCCAACTATTTCTTAAAAAAGGGGGTCACAAGAATCGCTTCTTAAGGGAGGAAATATTTCAAGTGGAACTTCAAGTGTTGACATTCTTGATGACAGGAAGGAAAAAAACTTTGGGGATGCAATAAAAAAAATTAACAACAACATATGATGAAGGTAGAGGTAGGGATTTTTTATAGAATATTTTTGGAGGGTCTCTACAAGGCGTGGATTTTTATGAGAATATTTTTTGAGGGTCTATACAAAGCGTGGATTTTTATGAGAATATTTTTTAGGTCTCCACAAGGGGTGGATTTTTAAAAGAATATTTTTTGAAGAGCCTCTACAGGGCGTGGCTTTTTAAAAGAATATTTTTGAAGAGCCTCTACAAGGCGTGGATTTTTAAAAGAATATTTTTTGAAGAGCCTCTACAAGGCGTGGATTTTTAAAAAAAAATATTTTTGAAGAGCCTCTACAAGGCGTGGATTTTTAAAAGAATATTTTTGAAGAGCCTCTACAAGGCGTGGATTTTTAAGAGAATATTTTTAAAGAGCCTCTACAAGGCGTGGATTTTTAAGAGAATATTTTTAAAGAGCCTCTACAAGGCGTGGATTTTTAAAAGAATATTTTTGAAGAGCCTCTACAAGGCGAGGATTTTTAAAAGAATATTTTTGAAGAGCCTCTACAAGGCGTGGATTTTTAAAAGAATATTTTTGAAGAGCCTCTACAAGGCGTGGATTTTTAAAAGAATATTTATTGAGGTTCTCTACAAGGCGTGGATTTTTAAAAGAATATTTCTTGAGGTTCTCTACAAGGCGTGGATTTTTAAAAGAATATTTTTTGAGGTTCTCTACAAGGCGTGGATTTTTAAAAGAATATTTTTGAAGGGTCTCTGAGATCTTCAGCCTCTAAAGGCTTGAAACATGATCTTCCTCCAAATGTCTTAGCATTAAGAATACATATTTTACATTCCAAATGTATCGACAGCTTATAATCCGTGACATTCTCCTTCACTTTCTGCGCGTTTTTAGTGGGTATATAGGTCTTTTGCAGACTACCCAGCCGGTCTGTTCGTTCGCATGTCTGATTAATGTAACATTAATTGACTTTCACTTCCTTTCAATTTCAATTTAAAAGAAAACACTTTAATTTCATTTCGAAAACAACAACTAAACCTAAATAAAATGCGATTATGTGCGACCAAAAAAATCACAGTAGTTTGGACCAACCAATCACTGGAGTAACCACCACCGCCACAACAGCCCGGCCACAGCAAAGATGACGACGATGGCGTTGATAATTTTGTGCCCCGCAAATGACGATATTATCCGGAGCTTATGTTGTACAAAAAACTAAACAAATTTTCAAGTTGGACTTGGAAGTTAACACGTTTTTATGGTTATCATGGACGGAGACCACTGGTCAACGAAGATCGGACAGGGAAGAAAAATTGCATGAAATGTGTATTGAAATTGTTGATGATGATGACCACGACACACAACGGCAATGTTGTACCGAAAAAAGTGAAAAATTATTGAGTTTTGTAAACAAATTTCATTTCGAGTAATTTGAGAATGACGAAGTGAGGTAATTTTTTGGGTTTGCTTAATTTTTTCTTCGTTGTTGGATTGCGACGGCGTGACTGACATTAAAATGTTTTTAATTGAAATTATATATTTTTTATTTTGAAATTTTTGGGTTTAAGAGAAGTGAAATGAAAAACGAAGACCTAAATATGGGCTAAATATTGAATATTGTGAATGTAAAAATTATGAAGTGTCATGGAAGGAAAAGATTTTTAAAATTAAGGAATTGGGAACCTCGAAAACTTGTGGATTTAAAAAAAAAAATACACAACCATACAAGGCGTGGATTTAAAAACAAAAATCTAATACAACCTAAGCATGGATTTTTTAAAAATACTTTTTCGAAGGCCACCCAAGCGTGGATTTTTTAAAGAATATTTTTTCTAAGGCCATCCAAGGCGTGGATTTTTTAAAGAATATTTTTTCTAAGGCCATCCAAGGCTTGGATTTTTTAAAGAATATTTTTTCTAAGGCCATCCAAGGCTTGGATTTTTTAAAGAATATTTTTTCTAAGGCCATCCAAGGCGTGGATTTTTTAAAGAATATTTTTTCTAAGGCCATCCAAGGCTTGGATTTTTTAAACAATATTTTTACTTAGGCCGTCAAAGGCGTGGATTTTTTAAGCAATATTTTTTCTAAGGCCATCCAAGGCGTGGATTTTTTAAAGAATATTTTTTCTAAGGCCATCCAAGGCGTGGATTTTTTAAAGAATATTTTTTCTAAGGCCATCCAAGGCGTGGATTTTTTAAAGAATATTTTTTCTAAGGCCATCCAAGGCGTGGATTTTTTAAAGAATATTTTTTCTAAGGCCATCCAAGGCGTGGATTTTTTAAAGAATATTTTTTCTAAGGCCATCCAAGGCGTGGATTTTTTAAAGAATATTTTTTCTAAGGCCATCCAAGGCGTGGATTTTTTAAAGAATATTTTTTCTAAGGCCATCCAAGGCCATCCACCACGAATAGAATCGAAAATAAATTCCAAGAATTTATCCCTAGTTATGCGAACATAATATTCTCTAGAAATTAAAAAATGCAAATGACCATGACAAGGTTGTTAACAAAAATCCTTCTTTGTTTTTCGTAGGCAGACTGTGAAAATTTGCCAAATTCGACGACATTAAATTATGGCCTTGCATTGTGCTATTATAGCAATATTTTTTTATAAAAATTATAGTCCCAGCTTTTATAAAATATTGCTTTCGAAGGAAAATTTAATTACAACCCATAGAAGTTGTTCTTTGTGAACTAATTTCGTATTCAAAGAAAACTTATTATCAAAGTAGAAGACTACTAACCTTTTCCCACTCTCTTCCCTTCATACCCCCACGGGCTACAAGCATTCATTTCACTGCATCGTATTTAATAATAAATTACCTTGACCATAGCTGTGAGAGTGAATGACGTTGAAAAAAAGAACGACATTTTTCTTTCCAATGTCTTTTGCCGCAAGCGAATCGAATTGAATGTCAAGTTGAAAAAATAGAAATTAATCAAAAATGTTTTTTTTTATGTTCAAATAAAATTGAAACAAAACTATAACAACGTTAATGTGGTTGGCTATAAAATAACAATAACAACAACTATTCCATTAAAAAAATTTTGTTAATTATCCGCTTAAGTGAAAAACACAAAGCTAATAAAGAAAGGAGTAATTATGTACAGTGGGTTGAGTGGTGAAATTAAATAGATAAAAAATTAAGACTCCAAAAAAAAATTTTTAAAAATCCACGCCTATGGATTGTCTCAAAAAAATTAAAAAATCCAAGCTTAAGGATTTTCTCAAAATAATTTTTACGCTTTGTAGAGGGCCTTAAAAATAAATTTAAAAAAAAATTCTTTTAAAACTCTACGCTTTGTAGAGGGCCTCTAAAAATAAATTTAAAAAAAAATTCTTTTAAAACTCTACGCTTTGTAGAGGGCCTCTAAAAATAAATTTAAAAAATCCTTTTAAAAATCTACGCCTTAAAATATTTTTTTTAAAAATCTACGCCTTAAAATATTTTTTTAAAAATCTACGCCTTGTAAAGGGCCTTAAAATATTTTTTTAAAAATCTACGCCTTGTAAAGGGCCTTAAAATATTTTTTTAAAAATCTACGCCTTCTTTTGACCCTCAAAAATATTTTTTTAAAAATCTACGCCTTGTAAAGGGCCTTAAAATATTTTTTAAAAATCTACGCCTTGTAAAGGGCCTTAAAATATTTTTTTAAAAATCTACGCCTTGTAAACGGCCTTAAAATATTTTTTAAAAATCTACGCCTTGTAAAGGGCCTTAAAATATTTTTTTTTTAATCTACGCCTTGTAAAGAGCTTCCAATTTTTTTTTAAATCTACGCCTTGCAAAGACTTTAAAAATATTTTTTTTTAAATCCACGACATGTAAAGGGTTTATAAATATATATTTTTTATATTTTGAGACTACGCCTGAGGATGGTCTCAAAGAATAATTTTTAAAAAAATCCACGCCAAAGGATGATGAGGATGGCTTCAAAGAATAATTTTTAAGAAATCCACGCCTAAGGATGATGAGGATGGTTTCAAAGAATAATAACTATATGATACCCTTCACCACTTTGGGTATATTCAACAGATGAATCCTAACAGACATTGAAGGACGATTAACATGAAATAAATCTGGATCGATTTTCAGGAAACCTGGCACACATCAGTCTACACCTAATTCATTACGCTATGCCAATTTTTGTGCAAATCGAAAGATATATAGGGAGATTTGTACACCATTTAGATTAAATCGGACGAAAATATATATGTGAGCTATATCTAAATCTGCACCGATTTTCAGGAAACTTAACAAACATCATTGTAGAACAAATTCAGTACGCTGTGCCAAATTTTGTGCAAATCGAAAGATATATAGGACTTTGGACCAACATTTACATTAAATCGGACGAAAATATACATGGGAGCTATATCTAAATATGAATTGATTCTCACGAAACTTAACACACATCATTGTACTCTTAATTAAGTACGCTGTGCCAAATTTCGTGCAAA